ATTTTTATGTTTTGTTTTTTTACTCATTTGTCTTATTCTTTTGTTTTTAAAATTGTAAAGGTTCTGATGATAAGATCATTATGATCTCCTTTGTTTGTTTGTTTTTGTTAAATATAATATGCACTTTACGACAAACGTAAAGATAAAAAAATGATGTTAGATATACATAACATAATTGAATTAATTTAAATATAAATAATGTTAACATAGGCATAGATAACATAAGTTGCACGCAGTAGCGATCGTCAGATGTTATAACCGTAAAAAACATAACGACATAAAAATATATACTATTTTTACATTTTATACTAATATTTATTATTATTTCACTCGCAACAAAATAGACAAAGCGAATGCAATATTATGTGCGGCCACATAATATTGCATCCGCTCTGTCTATTTATAAGCAGGTGATCCTGGCTCGAAACGAGCTCTGGACATATTTTTGCGTCCCGGTAAGGAAGGAGGCGTGAACTTCCTGATTAAATACTCTTCCGCGGCGCTCTGTGACAAGACCGTTAGTATTCTTTTCACACCTAAAAATAATAACAAAAAAATATATATATATATTTATTATTTACCAAAAATAATATTGTTTACCTAAAAAAAGGAAAAAAGATATGTGAAAAACATTTAAAAGTTTTTTTTGACGCTTACCATGAGAGATATTATGAGGTATTGTGGTTTATCCTCCTCCAGCTAATTGCCATATAGACGCCACATTACCAAGGCCCGCAAAGACAGGTTCGGCTCTCCAAGAAGCGTCATAACCCGCTCTACGGACCAAGAGTAAAGTGAGTTTAGTAAGAACGAAGGTATGTTAGAATGAAAGACAGAAGTAGTCGTGTTAGAAAGACAGCATAGAGAAAGCGGACAGGATTGCACTCGATGTTAGGAGGTGCAATAACGGGAACACAAATACGAAAATGTAGTTTAGATGTGTTTTTTTCCGTCGAGATATTATGAGAGATACCATGAGAGATACCATGTACCATGTATGAATAATTTATGAGATATTATGCATGTATGAATAATTTACGAGATATAATGAGAGATACCATGAGAGATATTATGAGGTTTTAAGATATTTAGATTTTAAAAAAATTGCTGGTAATAATTATTTTAACTAAAATGGCAATAGTTATTATTGTGGTAAAAGTTATTACAAATATGCTACAACATTGTGGTAAAAGTTATAACAAAAATGCGGAAGTGCATTTATTAACAAAACAATAGATAGAAAAACTTTGTAAGTAAAAGTTAGTGAAAATCCGGATTAAGTGCTTAGTCCTTGCTTTTTATATAAAGTTCAGTGTTAGTTAACAACGGAGCATTCTATGCAGATAATTTATGTTTGATTCTAAAACCTAAAAAAAAATTACAACTAAAATTTTAGTGTAGAAAAGATGAAATATAAGCTAAAGCCCTTTTACTTCTTACTCAAACTCTCAAACAAAGTAAACACGAGTACAACAAAAGTTATGCATTATAAAGTCAAGATGTTGAAAATACTGAAATGTGGCTATGTGTGAGGTGTGCAGAAAAAAGGTTGGAGCAAACTATATTGTTCAACTTGGAAGCAATGGGTTTTTAATAGATAGAATGTTTTATACATTGGCGCTAGTTGAAACTATTTTTTTATTTTGTGGAATTTTTTTTCAGATGTGTTAATTAATGGTCAACTCATTCGATAATTGTATGCTCTGGTGAAATGCTTTCTTAATATCAAATTAATTTCTATTAAACATAACACGTTCAAATATTTTTGATAACCCAGATATAAGTCTATATTTAGAGATTAGTTATTCTTTTCTTTATTGATTCATTGGGCAGACTTTAATTAATGAAAAAATATTTCTTCATTTTATAAAAGTTTTATAAAGTTTCTTGATAATTTTTTAAAATTTTCTCAAAATATAAAACAAAGTTTTATGTAACTTTTTTTTGCTGTTGTTTTAAAAAGATATTTAATATTATTATATTAAATATTTTAATATTTTATAGATACAAAATTTTATATATTCCAGCAGAACCGGTAATTTATTTATTTTAAAGATAAAATAATATCTTCAAATTTTGATTGTTCGAGTTATAAATTGAAATCTTTAAATACCTTTTTCATATCAAACTGTTTTTCGGTAATTTTTTAACTATAAAATTGCTTTTTATTCCATTTTTAATTGATTTTGAGTGATTCTGATAAAATTATTCATTTTTTGTTTTTGTTTTTATATTTGATGTTTTTTCTTTCATAAGTTAAAGAATTATAGATTTACATTCAACGATTCTTCTTCTTCTTCTTTTTCTTTTTCTTTTTTTTCATCTTCTTCTTATTTTTCTTTTTTCATCTTCTTTTTATTTTTTTCTTCTTTTTCCTATTATTTTCTTCTTTTTTTTCTTTTTTTTTTTCATTTTCTTTTTCTTCTTCTTTTATCATACCATTTCCCTCGGTCAAAAGAAAAGAAATTAGGCTTTATCTTCTTAATATTAAGGTTTTCCCAAAAATTCAAGTTTTATTTGATTCAAGCAGGTTCATTTTTTGACCGTTGTAACATATCTTTTCAAACTTTATTCAGTTGCTGGCCTGTTATCTTTGTATTTGCACTTATTATATTAATCATGCTTCTTTTCTAGTTTCTCATGTTTAAATGACAGTTAGTTTTATCGTCATATTTTATTGCCTTGTTCTATCGCCATGTTCAAAAGAAAGTCAGTTTTGACATGTTTTATCGAAGTATTTAAAAAACAAATTTTTTTATCGCCATATATAAATTTATTGACATATTTTATTGCTATGTTTAAAAGACAGTTAGCTAGTTATCTTGAATTTTTTAGCAGGACAGAAATGTTTAAGAAAATTTCTTTAGGAAGTTATTTTTTAAAAACTGTTTTGTAATATATTAAAAACAAAACAATTTTTGCACTATAAAAAATATGACGAGTTTTAATATTGATTTCATTTATTTTTATTTTACAGCACTCCACCCAAGTATTTGTTGTTAATATTTTACAGCTCTCCACCCAAGTATTTGTTGTTAAATCTTATGTGTAAAAAAAACTCATCAAGATGACAAGACGGATATTCAAAAAAAGACGGATATGCAAGAGGGGTTTGCAAAGAGCAAAAAAAATTTTAAAATACTTATCATAGTTTATTTTAGTTTTATTCAGTTTTGAGAGGCGTTTTAAACACGTGATCATTTTTATATTTTGACTTATTGATTTAGAATTCAATACCTGGAGTTAAGATAAGCACCAATTTTATAATTCTATAAATCTTAAGCCTAGAGCCTAAGGTCTCTGAACCCTGTGTATACGTTCTTTTTATATTTTCCTAGACCTTGATTTTACCAATTTAAAGAGCTTCGTAAAGCATTGATAATTTATTATATACTTATTTTCATACAACATAAGTTAAGAATTTTTTTAATACTTCTATTATGATAAAATCTATAATCAAATTATTTTAGTTTCATTTCAAGTCAACGTCACTGTCTCATAATATTTATTTCAGTCAAAACAACTCAAATATTAAATATTAAATACACAGTGGTTAAGAAATGATTTTTTAAACCACTACGTATTTGTTGTTGTTTACCTATTAAAAAATCAAAAATTGTGAGAATGTGTGAATCCAAATCAACATACTATTTTGCCGTTTAGGGTGATAAATTACTCTGTACAATAAATAGAAATTCATAATAAAAAATGATTTTTATACTGTAAAAATAAAAGATCAAAAAAGTAATAGCTAATTCATATATTTCTTCATAAAATTTTTATATATAAATGTTTTATATATACTAAGCTATTAAAAATATACTTTCAACAGAAATTAATTCCAAAAACAAAAGACGTGGCGTGCCAATTAATAAATAATAACGCAAGTAATTTAAATTAAGCCTGCCTGACTGAGTAACGAACCTTTTTTATGTTGCCATGACAATATGATACACCACATGTGGTTCTTTTTAAAAAGGTGTTGCAATAATTTTTATTTACATCAATTGGTTAGCTTGCCACTCAGCGGTAGATGTAATTTAAAATCTCCACCAGCCCCTCCTTCTTCAACTCCTGCTTTTATCTTTTGAGACTGTTATAATGCTTCTATACCGAATGTCATGTTGATTTATTTTTATTATATATTGGTAATATTTTAAACAGGTATTATTATTTCACATTAAATATAACTTTATATTTTTGTTTGACAGTATTTTTTTAAATAAAAAAAAAAGCCATACGTGGATAACAGATGGTAAAGAAATAATTGATTTGTTTTTAATCGTTAAAAGTTATCATTGGAGAATCTTAGGCGGGCCTTTAATATGCTCTAATATGCTTCATGCATAATGTTTTCAAATTATTTATATAAATCACACAAAATCAAAGATTCGTATCTAACCAATATAAACAACAAGAAATGGATATAACAATTAGCCCTGCGTTTGAAACAATTAACGGCTTTAACATTCATGTAATTCAGAACTTGATGTATAATAAAACTTAAATTACATATACACATATACATATATATATATATATATATATATATATATATATATATATATATATATATATATATATATATATATATATATATATATATATATATATATATGTATATATATATATATATATATATATATATATATATATATATATATATATATATATATATATATATATATATGTATATATATATATATATATATATATATATATATATATATATATATATATATATATATACATTACAATTTAATTTTAATTGAGTAAACGCCATCTTCAAACATCAAAACGTCAAAGATTTGATTGACTTGAAAGATATTTTCTTGACAAATAATATTTGTAAAAAATTTTAATCTGTAAAATATTAAGTGAGAATTATAAACCAATTAAACAGCTTAAATATTTCACATTTTTGTACGCGATCTTAGAGATATTGAAAAAGATTTTTGTTATAAGAAAATTTATTTTTATCATCATTTAAAAAAGAAAATCTTTAAAAATACATTGGCGCTGCTTACTTTTTTGTAAGTCATTTATATCTTATAAAAACTTTGCTCACGAGTTTTTTTTATTTCTTTTCTTTGTCGCCAAGTAGTTACTTCAAAATTTTAATTAAAATGACGATGATTAGAGATATGAACTTATTTTTATTTTGAGCTTTATTGCCGCCTTTTATTCCGATTAACAATAGTTATCATAACAAAAGAAAAAATAGTTTTAAAAGAATTTCCAACAAACAAGCAACCTTTCTTCCTACGTATTGCTTACTATAATTTAGCTGGTTGACATATGTTTCATTTTATTTTTAACAACAAAAGCGAGAATTTGATTTTAGTTTAATAATCTACTTGTGTACGAAATGGTTCATTCAAATTGTACCTCCTTAAAAGACCATTTTAATGATGAAAACGATGCTTCAGATATTTTGGTTTTTTGTCACACCTTAAACAGCTTTAATCCGAATGTAACTTCTGCCGAAAACTTTTTCAACGGGTTTTGTTGTTTAAATGCAAGTTTAACCAAACTCTGCGTCGATTTTATAAAGTCATATGTAAATAACCCAATCAATCTTAAATGTCCCAAATCTTTTGATTTTAGAGAATACAGCTTGTACACATATCTACTGCTATCAATATGTTTGCCCCTCGGGCTGGTCGCAAACTCTTTAATTCTTTACGCTGTTTTACGTCACCGAAGTTTACCGAGACCAACCGGCTATTTTTTGTGTAGTCTAGCAATTGGGGATATAGGTGTTATATTAATGTTTATTTGTTACGTGGTTTATAATCATTGCAGCAAAAGCACTCCGGGCAGAGTCTATTTATTTTTGATACCATCATTTAATATTTTTTTTGCCGCAGTATCTTTACTCCAGATAAGCACGATCAGCGTTGAAAGAGCGATTGCTGTCTCGCTTCCTTTAAGCTATTCAAAGTATATTACTTCCTACCGAGCAAGGTGTTCAACTCTTTTTGTTTGGGCTATAAGTGTAGCTCACTTTGTTTTATCTGTTATGCGGATAAATTTAAAATCTAAAACATACGAAAACTTTTTTATAATTTTGTGTAAAGTAACATTACTTTTTGTACCAATGACTGTTGTTTTATTTTGTTACGTACTAGTTCTTTACAATGCGTATCAGCAATTAAAACAAGAGAAAAAACGATTAAAAACCCTCTCATCCGTTATGTGTCCAAGGATAAACGAAAACAAGAATATGCATAAAAAAATTTATAAAAACTTGCGACAGAATCGCTTTAAAGAATTAAAAATATCTTTAAATATTGCGGTTATAGTTTTGCCTTTCCTTTGCTGCTGGGGTTTTTTTACGTTTGTTCATGTATTTGAAGCAGGAAACATTAAAATTGAAGGAGTTGCTAATTGGTTTATAAACACTTTACCTTTTATTGTTTCGAGTACAAATCCAATTGTTTATTTAGTACTAACACGCTCCTTGAGAGAAACCGTTAAGTCACTTTTAATTTTGAAAATTTCAAAGTGGTTTAATTATCAAGAGAGTGAGCGAATAACATCAACAATGACATCAATGATGACTAAAGAGTACGATGAAAATAATTTATAACAAACTTTGCAAAAAAAAAAAAACTACGCAACATTTTAATTCAGTCAAGCTTTCTAAATTCGTTCCTGGCGAATGAATGAAATGGTTGTCCAATGCAGTTGATAATCTTTGTAATTGGATGCGCAGCTCAATAGCTAACTCGATGCAGTACAAAAAATTAGAACTTGGAGTGAAAAAAACTTATTCAAAAACAGCTTTTTAAAAACAGACCTCTTCTCTTAAAAAAGTTCAAACTACGCGCATTTTGTGATATTTTAATTTTATTTTGAAGCTTTAACGTAGTTTTTCTCGCTGGTTTTTATTTGTTTATAGTTCTTTGAAGATTTTTTATTTGTTTTCACCAAAAATTACTAAAAAAATTTTAAACAAAACTTTTTGTCATTTGAATGAAATGTTCAACATCCCAAAACCTAATATATTTTGCATATTTTTTGATATCTCTCTGATAAAGTTTACAGTTGTATAAAACTTTAAAACTGTTTTTGAGGTTTAAACAATATATATATATATATATATATATATATATATATATATATATATATATATATATATATATATATATATATATATATATATATATATATATATATATATATATATATATATATATATATATATATATATATATATATATATATATATTTGCATGAGTATTACAGTGACTGAGATTTTATAAATATTAATAATGATTTACCGGATCGTGATAAACTATTTTTTTGTTAAAGAAAATTTGAGTTAGCTTGGTCATTTGTTTTAATTTTTTTTAAATACCCATTTTTTTTAGACAGAAATTGTAAAGAAAAGACAAATATTTTTTTAAAAACGAAATAGGTTTAAACATATGGATATCCTGTTATGACTTTTTCAAACCCGTCCCTCAATCATTAATTATGTAGTCATAAAACGTCTTGTTTAACTAAGTAAGAATTTGTTTTGAATTTTAGAGGAAATAATCAAGGAAGTGCACCACCTTTAATCAGTTTTTTTATATTTTGTAAATAAAATGAAAATGATTTTTCGTAATTAAAATTTTGTTATTAGGAAGGATATTTTAACATAGAAATATTTACTCATCCCTTAAAAAAGTTTTTTAAATAAACCAATTAATTTTCAAAATATCCATTTTTAAATGAAATAGAAAACTAGATAGAAGAACTTAAAATTTCACGGGTAAATTCAAATAAAAAATATATATATTTGATTGTCTTTAATAAATATTGATTAAAAACTCATGAAAAAAATATTTTTTTTTAAAATTTTCATATCTTATTAAAAAAAGGAGAAGTTCTTTGATTATCATTGATATTCAAGACCTTTAATATAAAATAAAAAAACAATTTTTACTAAAACTATAGTTTACACTTTTTATTTAGTAAAATTTATCAATACTATGTTAGTTATCATTGTTTAATTTTGATAAATACGCAATAGTGTAATTTTGATAAATATGCAATGGTGTAATTTTGATAAATATGCAATGATGTAATTTGGATAAATACGCAAAAACTAACTTTTGGTTGCGTAATCTGAGGTCAATAATTTCCGAGGTATGCGAAAACTCATAGTTTGATGCAATTTATATTAAGGTTGTTGTAAGGTGATTTTTAACTTTATTTTTGATGTGAAATATAAATGGAAAGTAGCCAGTAATATCCACTTAACTGGAATGATTTAAAACTATATTTTTCAAGTTTGCAGTAAAATTGTTGTTAAAAAACATGTTTAACGCACAATGATACAAACTTTATACAAGCTATTAGATTATAGACATTGAATTAAATATATCAATTAATTTACGTATTTATATGTGTTTATTATGTATTTAATCAAGAAGAAACGACCAGATTATTAAATTTAATCAAGAAACAGTGGCCCAATTGTATTAGAATTAATTAATATTAGAGCGGCAAAAAAAAAATTTCTCCTAATTCTTAATTAAAAAAGGCCAGAGAAAAACATATGGCTTAAATTAATGAAATTTTTATCCTTATAGTGTTGATTGGGCAAAAGCTGCCCTAACAGCAGTTTGTGAACTTTATAATTTTATATTAAAATATTAACTATTTAAAATGGTCTATTTTTGTAAGATGAGTAAAGTATTATATTCATACAAAAAAAAACCGGAAGCAAAGATATAAAAATTTCAAATTTCTTAAAGGAACAGTCATTATAATAGAAGAATAAACCGAAACCGACGAAACCGTTATTCCCGGTTGAAAAAAAAAATAAATTCATTTATTACCCAGTTGGCGCAGGACTTAAAAAAGGTTTTTTTAGATCCCGTGCCTACTGGGTAATAATAATAAAAATGTAAGTAATTTATAACAAATAATTAAGCATTTTCAAGCAGGAAAACTAACAAAGCTCCGTCATGATAAATGTTAGTCTTTTTTCCTTGTAACAACTTTAAAAAAACATTTTAAAATTTAATTTAACAGTTTTTTAAAATTGAACAATTTTAAAAAACTATTTATTCTTTAAAGTTGTTTAACGATGCAGGAGATATAATGGAATTTGGGAGTAAATTCCAGTTAGGTACAACGCGATTGTTGAAGAAAACTTCTCGTTAGGCACAGTTAGGTTTGTCTTTGACAATAGTTGTTTGCAAGGTAGTGTGGTAGTGTGGTCATGGTGAAGACTATGTGCGAACCAGGTAGGTTGTCAATAAAAGTGGTGTTAAAGCAGTTGTTAGTTCTTTTGTCTAAGAACATAGCTTTACACTTGTCTATGTTAAAACTCATGCTTATGGTCCATTCAAGGACCATGAGCATGAGACAAGGCGGTAAATATCATTTTTGGAGAGTTTGATAGTCAGAGGTGTTCTTTATGACCGCTATTAGTTTCGCGTCGTCGGCGAACAACTTACGAACGTGACAAGTGAGACAAGTGAGCGTGTTGTTAATAAAGATCACAAAAAGAAGAGGCTCCAGAACAGAACCTTGCAGAACTCCACTGAAAACCTCCCATCAATCAGAAAAGTAATTACTTTGTACAAATCTTTGACTGCAGCCAGTTAAGAAGGCTTCTATCCATCCACAGTTACTTGTATCAAACCCATATGCGCATAATTTGACAATTAGAAACTTATGACTAATTTTATCGAAAGTTTTAACACCACTTTTATTGACAACCTACTTGGTTCGCACATAGTCTTCACCATGACCACACTACCACACTACCTTGGAAACAACTACAGCCTTTGGCAAGACCAGCTCTGAGCGCAATCTCGGCATCATTTTCAACAACCAAATCAAGTGGCGGGATCAAGCTGCACGCGCTGTTGCAAAGGCTAACATGGCGCTAGGTATATTAAAAAGAACCTTTGACTATTGAAATATAGCTTTCGCATTCTTTATACAACTTATCTTGAATTCTGTTCATCCGCATGGAACTCTCATTATCGCCGAGACATTGACGTTCTTAATGCAGTCTAAGAAAGATCCTCTAAGTTCATGCCTCATCTCAGGCCCTCAAAGTATTGTCAAAGACAAACCGCTATAATATATATATATATATATATATATATATATATATATATATATATATATATATATATATATATATATATATATATATTATAGCGGTTATATATATATATATATATATATATATATATATATATATATATATATATATATATATATATATATATATATATATATATATATATATATACATATATATATATATATATATATATATATATATATATTTTAAATATATTTTAGGTGCTTCATTTTGTTTGTGTTGTTTTGTTTAATACATCATGCCAAATAAAAACTCCAGATATGAATGTTTATTTTGCAACTACAAAGTATTTACAAGTAACCAATTACGGATTGGCGGTAAGGATATACAAATATAAGTATGATAAACATAAGTTCTAAAATATATGAAGTAAATAAAAATATGGTTGCATACAACTTCGAGATATGATTAAAATAAATATCAAATACAACAATACAATAATGTGAACGTATAAAATAATCCGAGAAATATATCTCTATATTCTTCTAATTAAAATTGAAGTCAGTATTGTCATTGAGTACCTTTTTCCTTGACGTGTAATCATCATGAAAAAATCAGTTGCATACGTGGTATATATGTATGTGTTACCTTATTATTAATATTATTATTATCATTTTTATCAATTTCTGTTAAAAGTTAAGTTAATTTGTTTTTTTTTAAGGGTGTTTTTTGTTATTTTTATATTTAAATTTTTAACTAGAATTTAAATAAATTCCTTACATTTGTTTAATTTGATTATTGTAATTTGATAATTTAGCTTTATTTTCAGAGAGTGTTCGTTGTTTAAATTTATTACTGATTCGTTCTGGAAATTATTTTGTTAAAAAAGTGTTCTGTAAAATGTTCTGGAACTAGACTTAATTTATATTTAAACATGAAAAGTATATTTTGATAAATATTTATTTGAATTATATTTAGTGCATTCATTTGTTGCAGTAAGGTGAGCATGAGTAAAATTTGTTTTTGTTGTACATAAGTTTTGAAGCGTAAGTAAAGTGGTTCTAGTTTAGATTTGTGGGTACTGCCCCGTGCTTATTTGGCATAGATAAGATAGTTATGTATAAATTAAAAGTAAACAAGTTTTGAACTTTTTGTAAAAAAAATGGTCTAGCCTTGTAGAGTAAACCTATGTTCTTTGATACTTTTGTGTTTATGTAGTTTATGTTGGGTTTCCAGGAGATGTGTTCATCAATTAGAACTCCTAAAAACTTTGTGTTCAGAGCTCTTTTGATGGTTATATTTTCTATATTAATTGTTTGTAGGTTCAGGAGTTTTTTGTTGATTAGGTAAGAGTGGAATAGTAAAGTACTTAGTTTTTCTATATTGAGTGACAGTTTCTTTGATTTAAACCATATATCAATTTTTTTTAGTTCGATATTTTTTTTTTCAAAGAGGTTTTCAATTGACTTTGATGAGTAAAATAAGTTTGTATTGTCGGCAAATATTATAGTTTTAAAGATATTAGAGGCATTTGGAGTTTATATAAATAAGAAACAAAATAGGAGCATCAATGAAACCTTGGGAATTTTGTTTTTAGTAAATTTGAGTTCCTTTTAGTAAATTTTAGCAGAAAATTAAATTCGACTTTGGTGAATTTCATCAATATCTTTTTATGATCCTTCACGAAGCGCCATATAAACTTGTTTCATATTTTCTTTGATCGCTATCACAACTCTGATATGACTCTTCTATCCGGTATAACTTAAAAATTAATTTGTTATTGATGCGCACTTTGATTTTAAAGTTATAAAGATTTCTAAAGTCATAAAGA